TTTGTTTAATCTCCACATATTTGTGGCTTTTCTGATTTTCTTCCTATAGTTGATTTCCAGTTTAATTCCGTTGTGGTCAGAAAAGATGCTTGGTATTATTTCAGTCTTCTTAAATTTATCTAGACTTGTTTTCTGGCCTAATATGTGATCAATCCTGGAGAATGTGCCATGTGCATTTGAACAGAATGTGTAGTTTTTGGATTTTGGATGGAATGTTCTGTATATAGCTACTAGGTCCATCTATTCTAGTGTGTTATTTAAGGCCAATTTTTCCTTATTAATCTTCTGTTTGGATGATATATCCGTTGGTGTAAGTGGAGTGTTAAAGTGCCCTACTATTAGTGTATTACTGTCTATTTCTCTTTTTATGTCTGTTATATTTGCTTTATGTATTTAGCTGCTCCTACATTGGGTTCATAGTTATTTACAAGTGTTAGATCCTCTTGTTGGATTGTTCCCTTGATCATTATGTAATGCCCTTCTTTGTCTCTTTTTACAGTTTTTGTTTTAAAGTCTATTTTGTCTGATATGAGTATTGCTATCCCAGCTTTCTTTTCATCGCCATTTGCATGGAGTATCATTTTCCATCCCTTCACTTTCAGTTTGTTAGTGTCGTTATTTCTGAAGTGTGTCTCTTGAGTGTGGCATATATATGGTTCTTGTTTTTTAATCCAATCAGCTGCCCTATGCCTTTTAATTGCAGCATTTAGTACATTAACATTTAAAGTAGCTATTGATAAGTATGTACTTGCTGCCATCTGCCATTTTTTAACATTTTTTTCTCAGTGTTTTAGTAGTCCTTCTCTGTTCCTTTCTTCTTCTCTTGCTTTCTTCCGTTGTGGTTTGATCTCTTTCTTTAATATGTTTGGATTCCTTTCTCTTAGTTTTTTCTGTATTTATTATAGGTTTCTGGTTTGTGATTAGCACGGGGTTCATATATAGTGACCTACATATATAGCAATCTATATTAAGGTTATGGTCTCTTTAGTTTAACCTCTATCTGTAAGCTCTACTCTTTAACTCCCCTCCTCCCAAATTTTCTGTTTTTGATATCATATCTAACCTCTTTTTTGTGCATTTGTATCCATTACCCTCTTATCATGGAAATAGATAATTTTTCCTATTTATGGTCTTCTCTTTTCCTCTTAAATAAGTCTCTTTAGCATTTCTTGTAGTACTGGTTTCTTGGTGACAAACTCCTTTAATTTTTGCTTATCTGGGAAAATTTTGATCTCTCCTTCCATTTTGAATGATAACCTTGCCATTAGAGTATTCTTGGCTGTAGATTTTTTCCTATTAGCACTTCAAATATATCGTGCCACTCTCTTCTAGCCTGTAAGATTTCTGCTGAGAAGTAAACTGGTAGCCTTATGGGTTACAATTGTATGTAACTTGTCTTTCTCTTGGAGCTTTTAGTATTCTCTCTTTATCTTTAATTCTAGACATTTTGATTATGATGTGTCTTGGTGTGGGCCTCTTTGTGTTTATCTTGTTTGGTGCTCTCTGTGTTTCCTGTACCTGGATGTCTGTTTCCTTCCTTAGGTTAGGCAAGTTTTCAGCTATTATTTCTTCAAATAGATTCTCTGCTCCTTTGTCTCATTCTGCTCCTTCTGGGACACCTATAACATGGATATTAGTGTGCTTGATGTTGTCCCAGATGTCCCTTAGACTGTCTTCACTCTTTTTAATTATTTTTTCTTTTATCTGTTCAGCCTGGGTGATTTCTTCTAGTCTTTCATCCAGCTTGCAGATCTGTTCTTCTGTATCGCCTACTCTGCTTTTGAGACCCTCTAGTGAATTTTTCATTTCCAGTGTTGTATTCTTCATTTCTGATTAGTTCTTTTTTATATCTTCCATTACTTTGTTGACATTCTCCCTGAGTTCTTCCATTCTTCTCCCAAGATCAGTGAGCATCCTTAACACTCTTTGTTTGAATTCACTCTTCGTTTCAATTCGGGTAGGTTGCTCATTTCTGTTTCACTTAGTTCCTTTTCTGAGGTTTTGTCCTGTTCCCTTACTTGGAACGTTTTCCTTTGCTTCCTCATTTTGCCTCTTTCCCTGTGCTTGTGTCTATGTATTAGGTAGGTGAGCTACATCTCCTGCTCTTGGAGAGGTGACCTTATATAAGTGATCCCTTGTGAGACCCAGCAGTGCCCTTCCCTCACTTCCGAGGTTTCCAGGAGTGACCCCTATGTGGGCTGTGTGTTTCCGTCTGTTGTGGTGTGGTTGCTCTTCTCATAGGTGCCCAGGGAGGCTGAGCTATTCCTCTGGCCAGCTGTTGTAATGCTCAGCTGCTTGTAGTTGTTGTGGGCCCTTCAGTCTCTGTATGGGTTGTGGCGAGCCCCAGCACAGTTGGCTTCAAGTTTTAATAGCACATTTGTGTCGCAGTATTTCTATTACGTGAGCAGGCCACCAGCGTGGCAGGTTGTTAGGCTCAAGAGCTTACAATTGCTATAAGCCTCTAGCCTTTAGGTCTCTTGTCAGCTCTCTGAGCATTGCAGATGGGTGGGGCTGGCCTGAGGCATGGAAGCACCCAATTGTTTCAGGCTTTCTTTGGAAGGTGGGGCCGACCTCCTATGTGGCTCTTTGAGAAGCACAAGTCTTCTGCAGCTGACAAGCCCTACTGCCCACAGGTCCACACACACAGTCAATACAGTCCTGCCCAGTGCATGCACCCTGACCTCCTGAAGTGTACCCAGTCTCTACAAGGCAGGAGCCCCCCACACACCACCATGGCCCTACACTCTCCACTCCTTGCTCATGCCCTGCCCCAAGAGGTGGGCCCACTTGCCAGGCTACTGAGAATCCAGGCAGCTCACTTAGCAGGCCCACAAGTTGTCTGAGGGCGTGTAGTAGGGGGACGCCAGTCCCTAGGGTGGGCTGCCTGCCCTGGCTGAGCTGGATTAAATCAGTGCTCTAGTGGGTGGGGCAGACCCTGGGCTAGCAGGCCACAGGTAGAACTCCAATGGCGTCTGCCAGCGTGTGGGTCAGCATGCCCACACCAGGCCACAACAATGGCCGCTGCCAATGTCCTAGTCCCTGGAGAGGTCTCACCTCTCACCGAAATGCACTCAGAGCTTATCAGGTGAGTCTCTTTTCCCCAAAGGGCTGTGCATATTTCTTTCTGGTGATTTTAGTTTGCTTTCTGAAATGGGTGAATTTGTGTGTGGGCCCTTTAAGAGCCAGTTTTTTTTAAATTTTTCCCCCAAAGCCCCAGTAGATAGTTGTATGTCATAGTTGCACATCCTTCTAGCTGCTGCATGTGGGAGGCAGCCTCAGCATGGCGTTGGTGCGCGCCTGGGATCCCAACCCGGGGCACCAGTAGCGGAGCACGTGCTCTTAACCGCTAAGCCACGGGGCCGGCCCAAGAGCCAGTTTTAATTTCTTTGTGGACCAGCTTTTCTCTGGGTACTCCCCAATGTTTTAGTAGCCAGCAAAGTCAGATATTATGCCACTCGCCTAGATTGAGCTGAGTCCAAAAACTGCCTATAGTGTGCACGCTCCCGGGCTCAGGTCCCCACTCCTCCAGGGAAGGCTGCGTGTGTACCTTTGGGCTGCTCATGGGTGGCCATGAAGCACTGTGGCTTGTGAAGGTGGTGTTTTTCCTCTCCAGAAGGGAATTTCTGCCTCTTCCACCTTAATTAGGATTGTTGTTTGTTGCAGGAGTTCCTCTTATCCAGTTTTCAGTTCTTTCTCTGGGGTAATTTTTCCAAGAGTAGTTGTAAATTGGCTGTGTCCGTGGGAGGAGGTGAATTCGGAGTCTGCCTACGCTGGCATCTTGACTTCTCCTGCAATAAATATTTAGTGAATGATGGATGTATTTGTGAGCAGTTCTACTCATATTTGAATGAAAGAAAAGAAAATCCATGTGTTTTGAGATAAAACTGGAAATATTTTAAAGTGTTAGAATTCTCCAAACTGTTTGATAGTGGCCTAGAAGTTTTCCTCATAATCTGAATAGAAGATTCTTTGTGTGTTATTGCCATCTAATTAGGACTGGTTCCTCAATTCCTGACATTCAATCAATAAAGGAATTGTTTTTAGGTTTATCTTTTACTTTTTTGTGTGGCTATAGTATAATTTTGTTTCTTTGCTAATTTTGCATTTGTTGTATTTTAATTGCATTAGGTCTTAAATGGCTATTGTGAAGTGACCTGTAAAATGAACACTTCTGTGGGTAAATGTATTTGACATTCCAAATAATTAATTGATGTATGGAACACCTTTTGAAATGCAACCAGGTCATAACTGAGGAAACTAATTGTAATTGACTTGGAGACACAGCATGATCTGAAATCTGACAAGTTAAGTCATAAGCAAGCTGTGGATTCTTCTTCTTTGCCCTATGTTTTCTCTCTAGTGAGATTAGACTCGATACATCAAAAGAAATCTGGTTGAAGAGGTGCTGATAGGCGCTTTTGGTGGGAATGATTGTGATAGTGTAGGGCAGCTGAATGAGGCCACCAAGTCTCTCCTTTCATAGGAGGGAAAGCTATCTAACAAGGAAATAGAAGACTGCTTATATTAACCCCACCTGGCTTGGATGTTTAAGAGAGATAGACAGATAAAATGCTTCTTTAGAGAGATTTGGCACTGAGATGTAAACAATTTCATCAGGGTAAATATCCATACAGGAACATAGAACACCTTAGAATGAGAACTAGGCCAGGAAAGGGAGGATTCTAGAAACTATGTAGCTAATCTGATATTCCTATGGAGATAGGAAGGGTTGGAAAGTTTAGAAGAAACAAATTCATATGCATACAGGATTTGAGGGGAGGGGACAGCTAATATCGCTCGGGACAAGTCAGGGCCATTTTGATGAGTAGAATATGTAAATTATAATGTTGTCCAAATGCTGACTTCTCAGTAGCTAATAAGTCCTGAAAAAAAATGTTCATAGAACACAAACAAGTGTAACCAAAGGTAAGTGGCATACTATATGCATATAGTGAGTTAGATCTTGTTTTAAAATTGTCTTTCCCTTGTCTCTTTTCCAGATATGGATCAACTCATAAACAACTTGGAGGTCCAACTAAATTCGGAAAGTGGCTCAATGCATGTATTCAGACAGGTTAGTTATTAGGAAAATGAGATAATAATATTGAGCCATAATAGTGTTGAGTACCTGGTAGTCATTACAGAGCTGAAGCTCATTTTGCTTCCTAACAGCATATTGAGGACTGAGAAGGGGTGAAGAAAAGGAGGCTTCCAGGAAGTACCTAAATGCCTGGATTTCAGGTTCAAATAGGGAGTAATTCTGGCCTAAAAGAAACATAGCCTCTAGGATCAAGGCTATAGGGGCAAGATTAGACACTTGGTAGACAATAGCAACAATTTATCTAGCACTATTCAATATTCCAGGCACTCTGAAGATTAAATGCATTGTCTTATTTAATAATCTTCACAACAATTCTGTTGGATAGTGTATTAGTCAGTGTTCTTTAGAGAAACAGAACCAACAGAATGTATATGTCTCAATCTCTCTCTTTACATATATCTATATATCTATAGATATAAATAAAATATATATCTTTGTATTTAAGATATCATATCATATATAATAAAAATATATCTCTATCTATCTCTATCTATCTATTTACCTATCTGTCGAGAGATTTTAAGGAATTGGCTCACATGATTGTGGAATCCTGGTGAATCCAAAATCTCATGAGGAAGGCTGGCAGGCTGAAGACCCAGGGAAGAAGTGCAGTTTGAGTCCAAAGGCAGTCTGCTGAAAGAATTCTTTCTTGCTTGGAGGAGGTCAATCTTTGTCTATTAAGGACTTCAGATTGCATGAGGCCAACCCACATTATGGAGGGTAATCTGCTTTACTCAAAGTCCAATGATTTAAACGTTAATCTCACCCAAAAAACACCTTCACAGAAATATTCAAATAATATTTGACCAAATACCTGGGCACCGTGGCCCAGCCAAGTTGACACATAGAATTAACCATCACAGATAGGTATTCTCATTGTTCTCATTTTACAGATAAGAAAATTGTGACCTAGGACATTCCTGGAATAAGGATTCAAAACAGATTATCTGGGTTTTATAGCCAAGCACTCTGTTAGATGTGGAAGTCCCGTTTTGCTCAGGGTTGAGTTCTAAAGTCGTCACATAAGTGAAACCCAAATACAGTCAAAATTACCCTTGAAAATCCTTTAAATCACCTATAAAGTTGAGTATACAGTTTTGCGTATCCAGTACTGATCTGTTTCTTTACTTAAGTCATCAGATAAAGTATCTGGCTTACATTTAGGAGTCGTATTTTACAAAAAAAAAATGTTTTTAATCATTAAATGTTTTTCCCTTGGTATACAATTGAATTTGTTACATGTGCATATGGATGAGATGCTTTTGTACTGTTTTAATGGTATTAAACCCAATTTAATGTCTTGTTTACCTTACTTGTAGCTGATGCCATTTAGGGACTATGAGCACATCAAAACTTGCGAATTGTTGCAAAATATCTGCTGGTTTCTGGTGCTTAGTCATAGTTAATACTAAGAGGAAGCTGAGTATAAGTGTTAGATAGAAATCTACTGGAATTGTAATAAAAAAATACTCAGTGAAATGTCAAGCATACATAGCTACCTTATTTTGAAATCTCAGTATACCTAAGTACAATTCAAAAAATGTTTTTCCATGGGTTAAGTATACTAAGGTTCCAGAATTGGAAGGCACTTTGAAATTTACTCAATTTGTAGAAAATTGTGGATAATAGATGATCTAAGCACTTTTTTTGTTTCTTGACATCTCCAAGATATCTTGCTTTTAGTAAAGCTAGGGTGCTTGGGGGTACATGGCCGTGTCCAGGGGACAAAGGTCCAGATCTTGTGTTCTATAGCAGTACAATGCTGGTAACAGCCTAGTGGGTAGAAGCTTCCTGGTTTGGTTCATTATATGATTTGTTTATGTCATGAGGTAGGATTGGTGGGTGGCTGTCTAGTTCAGTACACATGTACTGCTCCTCCTTTGAATTCCTACATCATTATATCATATAACGAATGAGCACTTTGTTATCACTTGCCCTTTGTTTCTAGTTTCTGATAATTTCCTAAAAGTAGGATTTCTTAGACAAAGTGTGTGAGCAGCTTTAGGGTTCATATTGTATTATACATGTCTTCCCCCCTCCAATTTAAGATTGTTAACATTTTGGCACATATTCTCACATAGTTGCATATATTCTCTCTCTCTCTCTTGCTCTCTCTATGCCACCCCCATTTCTATCTCTCTCTGTTTCTTTTTCTCTTGTTTCTTACCTTTGAAAATAATTTGCATCAAGCAACTTTACCACTAAATAATTCAGCATGCATCACCTACTAATAATGACATTCTCCTACATAACTACAACAATACTATTACACCGAAGAAAATTAACAATATTTCTATAACATTATCTAATTGGGTCATACATTTTTAAAAGGTTCTCAGTGACACCTTTTCCCACACTGTTCTTTCTGCCTGGAATGTGCTTCAATCAGCCTGTCTAATTTACCAAATCCTACACTTTCCTTAGGGCCCAAATTCCAATTCTATCTCTTCTATAAAACTTTTACTGATAACTCCAACTCTCATTAATCTCTAGTACACTTGAGTGCCTGGAATGCTAAATTGTCTGTATCAGTCACTCACATGGCTCTGCTTATTACTTGTTTTCTAATTGTCAACTGCTTCATGTAAATATCTCGTTTTCACATGATATTCTTTGTCTTTCAAACTTAAATTATTTATATACCACCTTCACAATTTTTGCCATATCATTATCATTAATATTATTTACTTGTTAAAAATTAGCTCATTTAAAAATGAATAAATACCTATATTAGTTTTGTCCCAAGCAATCTGGAGAATTCTGGGTTGGATGTGGGGTATTAAATTCCTAGGGCTACCACAACAAATTTCCACAAATTAGGTAGCTTAAAACAACAGAAATTTATTCTCTCACAATCCTAGAGGCCAGAAGTCCAAAATTAAGGTGTTGTCAGTGCCATGATCTCTTTTGGGGCACTAGGGGAAAATCTGTTCCTTGCCTCTTCTACCTTCTGGTTGATGTGGGCATTCCTTGGCTTGTGGCCTCAGTGCTCTGCCTGCATCTTTGCATTGCTTTCTCCTGTGTCTCTCCTCTGTGTGCCTCTTATAATGACACTTACCATTGAATTTAGCATCCACTCAAATAATCCAGGATAATCTCCACAAGAACCTTAGCTTAATTATGTCTCCAAAGACTCATTCCAAATAAGGTAACATTCACGGGTTCTGAGGATTAGGATGTGGACATATCTTTTTGGGGAACACCATTGAGCCCACTACAATGTGTTATATGTATATATTTTTTTCTAATATATAATAAATAAATAAATATTTAACTATTAAAATAAAACAACTTATCCATGCACCACCCCAAAACCATCTTAGGTGTTTTGAGGAAGAAAAACTGTTTCATTTTATTATTTTTCATATTTTACATAGAATGAAATGCTAGGTAATAGTATTTCCATATTTTCATGCTAGTACTAATCAAATACCTAATGAATAAATATATGCACACATATACATACATACATATGTACATACACATATGCATATTTCTGACCTCATTTTGCCTGGATGTGGCTGCTACTATGCTTCACACTTTCTCCCAATCTCTTAGGATTGCCTAGTTTGTTAGTGTATACAAAGTGATGAATACTTTTCTCTTATAGTGCTCCATTTCCTGAAGTTATTGAGATGATGGTAACATAAGATTTGAATTCCCTCTAGGTTTAGATTAGGTCTAGCTTTCTAATAATCAACTCCATCTACCTCTCCTTTCTCTAAAACCCAAACACCTGATGTGTTAATTGGAGAAAGATTGGCGTTTCAGAAGGTTAAACTGACTTTTTGACTTAAACAATGAATGTGCACATATATGTATGTATGTGCATACGTGTGCACCCAGGCATGAAAATTATTGGTCTAAACCCAGAGTGAAGCTAGAAGGGACCTGTGTACAAAAGCAGCTTTCCTCCTTCTGTTAGGGAGCAGTTTAGGTTTTATCTTCTTACCATGATAATACTCCTTCCTCTCCTTTTCACCTACTGTGCTGTCTGAAGTATTTTGTTCTTTCATTTTATTTTTTTTTCTTTCTTAGGATCTGTTTTATTTATTTATTTTTTTATTGTGGTAACATTGGTTTATAAAATTATATAAATTTTGGATATACATCATTATATTTCAATTTCTATGTAGATTACATCATGTTCACCACCCAAAGACTAGTTAAAATCCATCACCACACAGGTGTGCCTAATCACTCCTTTCACCTTCTTCCCTCCCCCCTTCCCCTCTGGTAACCACCAATGCAGTCTCTGTCTCTATGTGTTTGTTGTTGTTTTTATCTTCTACTTGTGAGTTAGATAATATGGTATTTGAGTTTCTCCCTCTGACTTATTTCGCTTAGCATAATAGCCTCAAAGGTCCATCCATGATGTCATAAATGGCAAGATTTCATCCGATTTTATGGCTGAGTAGTATTCCATTGTGTATATATACCACATCTTCTTTATCCATTCGTCCCTTGGTGGGCAACTAGATTGCTTCTAAGTCTTAAATATTGTGAATAAAGCTGCAACGAACATAGGGGTGCATATACCTTTATGCATTCCTGTTTTCATGTTCTTTGGATAAATACCCAGCAGTTGAATAGCTGGATTGTATAGAAGTTCTATTCTTAATATTTTGGGAAATCTCCATACTGTTTTCCATCGTGGCTGCACCAGTTTGCCATCCCACCAGCAGTATATGAGAGTGCCCTTCTCTCCACATCCTCTCCAACACTTATTATTTCCTGTTTTGTTAATTATAGTCATTCTGACGGGAGTGAGCTGATATCTCATTTTAGATTTGATTTGCATGTCCCTGATAGTGATGTTGAACATCTTTTCATGTGCTTGCTGTATATCTTCTTTGGAGAAATGTCTGTTCAGATCTTTTGCCCATTTTTTAATTGGGTGGTTAGTTTTTTTGTTGTTGAGATGTATGAGTTCTTTATATATTTTGGATATTAACCCCTTATCAGATATATGG